ATCCATCCATCCATCCATCCATCCATCCATCCATCCATTCATCTTCCTCCTCTTATCCGGGGTCGGGTCGCGGGGGCAGCAGCTTAAGAAGGGAGGCCCAGACTTCCCTCTCCCCAGCCACTTCTTCTAGCCCCTCAGGAGGAACCCCAAGGCGTTCCCAGGCCAGCCGAGAAACATAGTCTCTCCAGAGTGACCTGAGTCTCCCCCGGAGCCTCCCCCCGGTGGGACGTGCCCGGAACACCTCACCAGGGAGGCGTCAACTGGCTCCTCTCGACGTGGAAGAGCAGCGGCTCTACTCCGAGTCCCTCCCGGATGACCGAGCTACTCACCCTACCTCTAAGGGAGAGCCCAGCTACCCTACGGAGGAAACCCATTTCGGCCACTTGTATCTGCGATCTCAGAGTTCATGACCATAGATGAGGGTAGGAACGTAGATCGACCGGTAAATCGAGAGCTTCGCTTTTTGACTCAGCTCTCTCTTCACCACAACGGACCGGTACAGCGCCCGCTTTTCATGCATTATGACAAAAAAATCTGTCTCTCTTTTTTCCTTATAGAGCATTTGTTACTTTTAAGGAAGCCATTTTTTTAAACCTAGAAAAACCATCTCTCAACAGAGGAGGTGGTCTTAGACATAAGCCCCATTTACACTACCCTTTTGGAACCGTGCCGAGAACGGTCGAGCACGGTAACCGAGATAACTGTTGAGTGTAAATAGCACGCAAAACTGAACTAAACAGCTCCAGATGACACCAAACATGGTACTGGTTCATCAGTAGGGCTCGTCGCAATTTAGTTCAGGCATAGTTCTCTGATAACAGAGAGCGCATTAGCAGACCGCGTCATTTCCTTAGAGTCAGCCTCCTTAATCATGAAATGTCAGCCATTCATAAAAATACAAGCTTCCCTACCGTGTCAAAATGATTTCCAGTGATGATTCTGCTTAGCAGTGTGATGAACCTCAACATCTGTTGATGTTTCCTGCGCCTGTAAGCCCTGATTAGACTATCGATTGTCGTATCCACTTCCCAAAAGCCAACTCTGTCAAGTAAATTCACGAAGGGCTGCCTTCTTCGCTTGACTATCCACAAACTTTCTGAATGCTATGGGTGCCGCCATGTTGGTTTGCTTGTTCACCTCAAGAGAGCAGTAGAGTACTACCGTACATTGTCATTAGGAGGTGAGGAACCGTGCTAGCGCCGTGTATACAGTAAATGGTCTTCAGGAACCGGGTTCGGCACGGTTAACTGATCCAAGCTCGTCACGGATTGGTTTCCAGAGGGTAGTGTAATCAGGGCTACTACCTTTCAACCTGTTAGAAACAATACCCCGAAGATTCACCCGTCACCCGCTCTCACTTGATAAGATTACTTGAGGGTCAAGGACATTGCCCTAGATCGGCAGACCGGGGTGTTTGTTCTCCTGCATAAGAAAGGGAATCGGAGGGTGTCTTCCAACTATAGGGGAATCACACTGCTCAGCATCCCCTGTAAGACATGCCAGGATGCTGGACAGGAGAGTCTTGCTAATGGTTGAACCTCTGCCTCAGGTTTTTGTTCCAGCTCTACACCCTCTGCAGGGAACTTAAGGGTTCATGGGAGTTTGCCTAACCAGTCCACATGTGCTGTGTGGACCTGGTGAAGGCATTTGACAGTGTCCCTATGGGAGGGCGCTTCAGGAGTCCGGAGTCAGGGGCCCTTTATTAGGGGCCATCTGGTCTCTATATAAGTGGAGTCAGCTAAGGTTGCTCGGGCATCTTGGTCTGATTCCCCATTGACGCCTCCCTTTGGAGGGGCTCCAAGGACGTCCCACTGGGAGGAGTCCCCAGGACACACTGGAGGGGACTATGTCTCTGAGCTGTCCTGGGAGCCCCTCTTGCTTCCTCCAACAGAGCTGGAGGAGGCGTCTGCAGGGAAGGGAACTCTGGGAGTCTGTGCTGAGACTGCTGCCCTCGCGATCCAGACCCGGAGGAATTGTGAGACGACGAGTACGAATCTTACTTTTAGGGAAAAATACTTCTTCCAACAGCTGATCATCTTCTTTAACTGCTTAAATTAAAGGTAAACAGAATCTTTTTTAAGCTTTTCTTATCTTTGTATCGTTTTCACCCAAATTATAACCATGAAAGTGAATTAATACAGAAGATCTAGTAAAAAATACAAACGAAACACATGCAAACATTTTCTTTAATTATTGAGAATTATAGTTATATTTATCATTCCATGCTTATGTCTGAAGCAGGGGAGAAGAAATGTCAGACAACTGGATCTGGATTCAGTATAAACAATCACAGGCTTAAATTGTCTTAGACATCAGCTGGACTTATACATCTGCTCTGACACCATGTTGTGACATTTCTGCAAAGTCCTTCACTAACAACCAATTAACATCAACAGGAGGAAATGTTACTTGGCAGCCATGAAGGCATTGGATTTAAATCCTTCGGGAAAATGATGCCACAAACATTTTTCCAACCTTGTCTGAGACATCAGCCCAGCATGGAGACCAACTGCTGCTCCTGGAAGAGCTGATGGGGAGGATTTAGCATGCAGATGTATTCAGGCAGATGTTTGAAGCATGCAAGCTTTGCCCTTAAAAGAAAGGCTCTGATGCAAGGATGAAGCTTGTGACCCCAGGCACGTTCTGTTCACATCCGCTCTGCTCTGCTTCCAGAAGAGGGAGCTGGAGGTTTGTTTAAAATTAGTTTTTTTTTTTATTCATTAAAAAGATACGAGTAACATGTTCAGATTGCAGAAAAGAGACAACAGATGGAACATTTCTCTAGTAACACTTCACTGGTCATAAATAAAATAAAAATGACAAAGGAAATTTAGAGAAGCAAAGAGGGGATTAAGAAAAATCAACAGCATGACAAGCAGCGCTCATTTAAACAGATTTACCAAAAAACAGTCACAATCCAGACTGTTTACAACCAGAACCCTTTAGTTTTACCTCACTTAGTTTTAACTTTTAAACATTTTAATGTTGGAATTCAATATGAACCATTGGTACAGATAAATAGGTTATGATATTTATTCCAAAAAAGTTAAAAAACAATCCACTGGACTTTGTTTCCAAGTTTGAAGGCGTTTCGCTTCCAATCCAGGAAGCTTTTTCAATGGGGATGGGAAGCAAAACGTCTTCAAGCTTAGAATCAAAGTCCACTGGATTGTTTCTAAATTTTTTTTGGAATGACTATGACTATTCACCAGTTATCATATTTATTTACGTCTTTGCCTCATAAAAGCTGAACTAAAAAGTTAAAAAGAAATATATCAAGTGTTATAAAAGAACTTATTGTGTTTACAGTTTGATATTTATGTCACACAACTCTAGCGATCTTTAGTTTGTCCTTTCAATCTCAGTTAAATTAGTAGTTAGGCTGTGTAAAGCCTGACTGCATGTCTAAAAGGTACTTAAAGGGGTCCTGTCATGCAAAATGCATGCATATTTTACTTCCATTTGGATTTCTGTCAAATCTGAAAGCAGTCTGAGTGCTCAGAAGAAACTCATCCAGTAAGTAAATGTTTTCTTGGTGTCTAAAGAAGCAGCCTTTTCAA